AAAAATATATACATTACTATGGTAAGTTTTCTCAGGAAATGCAAAGAAACGAACTAGAATCCGAAATTTTTTTTCTAATCATTATGTACAATTTTGAGCTATTTATTAAAATTTACACTTTAATTACTCGAAAAACGTAAGATTCCATGTTACATTGATAAACAAAAAAATTACAAGTCGAAATATACTATTATAATTAACAACCAAATAAGTTAATAAAGTTAATATTTAATAAGACATCTACAATATTTTGAGAAAGTTGTAGAATCTTATTTCGTTTCTTTGCATTTCCTGAGAAAACTTACCATGACTTTTTCCATAAGACTTGGTAGTTTTTCTGCAAATCAAGGGAAACCGTTTTTTACCCTTAAAAACTCACCCCCTACCCCTTCCCGACCTCAGATCGCCCGTAAATTATATTTCCTTTCATTTCTGTTATATTCTTTTTCTTTTCCAATGGGTTTCATCCTACTATAATTTTTTTTGGTTTCAAAAATTATCGACCCTGGTCTATTATTAAGATCTAAGAATTAAATTTTCTTTTATGTGAGATCATAGGATTCGTGAGAAACACCTTCTCAATAAAAGTAACGCAGCAAAGAGCAGTACTTCACGACGGGTAGTGTAGAAATTTGTTTTTTAATAACCTTTCCTTTAAATTATAAGATTTGACTATAATGCACAAAGCAGTTTGCAGATGTGTATGCGCTCCTTTATTAGAGGTCACACTAGCTTGTCCAGTAGTGGGGTATGAAAATTATAAGTTTATAAAAAAATCCGTTTTCACAACACAATTTGAGAAAACAAACTTATGGTGGCGATTCAAATATTTTGCGACTTAGACATTGTTTATCACAATTAATATTATCGTTATCGAACTGCTTTTTCAAAATATTGTTTATAGGGTTAAATACTTACAGAAAATATAAACACAAGTTATAATTTAAATATTTATAATTTCTGAATGAGCGAATTGAATACCTCGGAATTGTTTATATTCCTCATAATGTTTATTTATCACCAAAATATTAAAGTTTTAGTTAATTAAAACTATATATTTGAATAATAAATTCTTTTATTGTATTTTATACTAATTATGCATACGTAAATATGAAAGCAAGAACATTAATACATATATACACAAAACGTAGATACTGGATACTAATAATGTACGTAAGTAAACAAATTACGATTAACTCGTTTTAGATCTTTGATAATCGAGTAATCTCTGAATTGCCGGTGGAATAGGAGGAGGAGTGGGTAAATGCTCTCCCTGAGGCTGGAAACCATTTTCATCTGCAGTGTACACAAGTTTTATTATTTGACCATCTGGTGACGTATACTGGTACTGGCCTTGTTTAATTTGAGTTTCTGGATCTTTCGAAAATCCTTGTTCTTCAACAAATATTTGATTAGACGTTTCATAGGCATAATTATAAGTCCCATCTGGATGAATGTCAAACAATTGTCGTACTATGGGAACAAAATTGTTTGTAGATTGGGAGAATGCATTAGAGCATATTGTAAAAAAGAAGAAGGAGACCTGAAACATCAAAACGTTTTTATATCAAATAGATATGTGAACATATTTTTTTGCATTCGGTAGGTATATGCATCACGCTAAGTTCTGTTAATCACTTTTACCAACAATAACTATCATTCACTACTTTCACTTACGTATTTACAATTTAAACTACAAAATATCTTTACATTATAATCAGTCAGAAAATGATAATAATGTTACTCGAATTATAGGTAATACGAATAAAGAAGGGTCATACCAAAAGAAGCATGTTGTAAAACACAAAAAGTAATTAGGTATTGCACAACAAAAAAACTATAGGTAATCGTTTAACTCTGCAATAGATATGATGTAGGAACAACCGCAGCAACTCTTATAAGAATGCTGCTGGGGACAGCAAATTCAATAGCCATAAATTATTTTAACAAGGCTCAAAAATATGTTGAAATATATTAAATTTTTTGGATGAGTTTGCCAAGGTTACAAAATTTTATGGTGTCCTACAATACATAATTTTCTGATATGTATAAATTATAAAGTACCGCCAATTATAGTTGCAAATCTTTTGATTTGAATTTGGTTATTAAATCTCAAATAGGTTTATGATAGGATTGAGATTCTTTTATATATATATCCTTGAAATTTATTATCTAATTTTCAGCCCCAAAAAAATAATAATAATTTTTAGATATAGCGCTCAAATAGAATGTATTATTTATTAGATTTTTCTCGAAATTCTCATAAATTATAAATTTATCGTTCAACTGCAATTTACATTTGTTAAAATGAGCCTTCAGAAAAAACACAATTTCTAATAAATACTAGTCGACTACATCAAAGTCATTTAAAGTATGATAGTTTTTCAGCTTGTTATACCGTGGCTTATACCTGGTCGTCGCGAGTTACAGAATTTACACTTCCTTAACCGTAACTAGGATTCATCGGCCTGCTCTTGTTGTTCTCGGGCTACGCTTTGTGGGAGGCGGACCCACTATCAGAACCCCTTAGCCCGCCCTTATATTCATTTTGATTCTTATTGGTTCCAAAGCCGCTACGTAACACTCTCCAGACAATAGTGATCCTTTGAGACGTTCCGTAATGGCCTCTATAACTGGTCACATTCAATACTTCCTAACGTTTCGCCGTTCTCAGAGGATCACCATTGTCTAAGGAACGGATTGCCTTTACGCCTTTACCGGCTTTAGAATCAACAGGAACCGAAATCAACATCAATGCGGGCCTAGCCTGATAGCAGGTCCGCCCCCTCAGAGCCTAGTGCGAGAACAACAAGGGCAGGTTAAAAGTTCCTAGCTAAAACTAAAGAAGTGCAAAATAATTATTATGTAATTGGCGGCAACCAGGTACATAAACCGCATAACTACCCGAAAAAACATCGTCCTTAGAAAAGCAGTAGGTACTTCGCGTGAAAGCCTTAATCTACATCAAAGTCTTTAATATTACAAGGTGTCTGGAAAAGTTGGTACAAAATTTAAGGGGGTGTAAGTAGAGCCAAAAATAGTAAAAAAAAGTTCCTATAAACATTGGTCCTCCGGAGCACCGTTACTGAGATGTGGCCCTCCAAAGGGGTCTTATCATTTGGATATTATTAAAAATAACTTTCTTTCTGTTTAAGATAACGGAATGAAAATTGTAGGTAATAATCATACCATAAGGATCTTTAACTACCATAAGTTTCATTAAAATCGGTTATAAATAAGAATAGTATTTACTCTTAACAGAAATTTTTCGAATTTAGGCATCTTTCATAGTGACAGTTTCATTGTAATGATACTAATGGTTGTCACTTTCGCGTGCTATGATTTATGTTTCTTTATTTTCTTAGTTGTGATCTTTGTGTTCAACTTTGCATTTCATTCGATTTTTTTACAATTTACAATTTAGTTACATGCATAAGCAATGTACTACTATAATGGACTTCTGTAAATACAAATGTTCCTTATAAGACAAGAGATTAAAGCGATTGCATTTATGAAAGTATAATAGGTACAATTTGATCTATGTAGTATTATACTGTGATACGATGTTATTGCAGCCAAACACATTTTAAAAAATATGCTGAAATTATTGAAATGTTAATTTTAAAATGAAAAATGATAATAAAAATGTTATTATTTATCAAAATGCATAAGATTATGATATGCGCCGTGATGCGAAGATAAATATTTCATTCTTTATATACTATTGTATTTTTTACTTCTTATATTGAAAGTTTATCGTATTTTATAAATAGAAAAAAATTAAAAAAACATACTTCATTTGAAAATTTCCCATTTTATTTTATTATTTCAAATTAAATTACAGAAACAAATACAAGTTGAATGTAATCCATTTCTAATGACTAATTTGTATAGCGAAACGTTTATTTAAATTTTCCGCACCTATCCTCATACCCTATTGTGCTGTTGCCGTTACTCCTTCGCGTTTATTACTTGGCGGACGAGAAGTCAGAATTTTTTATGTTTGATTATTTACTTCCCTGACAAATGTGCGGTAACCTACCTTTTTTATTTCTATCATCTATTAATTAATGATAATGATTCAGGTAAATGTCTACATTTATTGTCTTATCATTTGCATTTCTTCACCCGTAATTCGATTGTAAGGGTATACATCATAGTATTTGCCATAAAAACCTATGTTAAATATTCAAATTTTCGGCATTAATTAAAAACAAAAACATCTATAAATAATTCGAGAATAATACACAGAATTTAATTTCGCATTGCAAAAATAATATATCTTAATAATACTAAATTGGCTGCATTTTTCCATAGCACCCGATCCTCCTTAAGAGATTTCAAATGATTTGAAGAAGTTAGTGCATATTTTGTAGTCGAGAAGTACTATATATACTACTAGAACAAGAAATCCAAACCTATCTACAACTTTCATACAGTTTGTAAGGAATGCTACAAAGTAGGTACTTGGTCTATCTTTACAACTGTCAGACTTTTTTGTGCTTGTTTGTAGACCCTGTATGTTTTATCACATATTTGATTACTGCCCATGGCTTCCCAAGATAAACAAAACTTTTTATTAAGAATAACTTTTTCTCGAAAAATCAACAATAATGAAGGGTGGGTAGTCTTGACTGACTAGTTAAGAGAAAAACAGTGATATATTTGGGAATGCATCCAACAATATAATAAAATCACTCTGTGTTTGTTGCCAAGCTTCCGGAAATGTTTATTTTGTTTATTTCCTTTCTCGAGATATCTACAATTAACAAATGTATACATACATATATTAGAATAATAATTTATATCTACAACTTTATTATATATTTACAAAACATGAGATTGTTGTTGAAAACTCTCAAAAAGGAAGGATAAAAGACCAATATTAAAATTTTGTCAATTCCATAACACAGTAAAATACCAATACTATAAAAACTTATTTTAACAGACAATTTTATACAAACAATGAAACAATTTTTAATGACAACGAGCAATGTGACTCACTGTGAACCAATTTCTTTATACAGCGTGATGATAAGGTTTGGAACAAAATTAATAACTTTTATACTGAATGATTTAAAAAAAACGCCGAGACAGGTCGATTTTGTTCTCGAGAGGACCATCCAGCTTTTCTGGGTCACCCTGTATACAACTGAATTATCTTAAACGATGCTCCTCTCGAGAACAAAATCGACCTGACACGGCGTTTTTTTTTTTAATTAAGTTGTGGATTTTGTTCCAAACTTTATCATCACGCAGTATCAATTTTAGTACCAAAAGCAAAATTAATATTTCTTTTTAAGAATTTTTCCTTTATATTCAAAAAATTTAAATGAAAAACAACCACCCAATCTTAACAGAAACACTAGCATTGCACTGCCAACTGAAAAAGGAGCCGATAAATTACTCCAAATTTGAAAAAGATGTTAGGCAAACTATGTTCATCAAACCGTTTTTGAACTTGCTGCAACACAACTAAATATATTTTTTTACCGAAAAGAAAAAAATACTGCATACGTAACAACCAAAGAAAAAATATTAACATATTTTAAACACATTTTAAAATCTGCAAAAAAATTAAGGTGAAGGTCGTTTGATTTGTTACTGATACAACAATGAACCTTGACAAAGGATTATCAAGATGTAAATGATAGTAAAAACCACCTCTTAACATTTTTCATAATATCTAAAACGAAGAGTTAAAGAATTAAAGACACACAAAATACAATAGGCAGTGACCTATTCAAACTACATAAAAATTGAACACAAGTTAGAAATTCTCGTTGCAAAATACTCCTGCTGCCTAATTTTAAATCAATTTTTGAAGTATATCACTACGTTAATATTTTATGACAAAAATAAAGTCCAAAACTACAAAATGTCACCACACCTATTTTAAAGTTATTTAATTAATAATAAAATTATAATATTTAATATTGTACAGTTTGCATAATATTTGTTTTTTAATTTATCGTGTAGAAAATGTATTTAAAACTTCGAATTTTAAATTTATGGGATGGGTGATTGTATATAATTATTCATATCTAACTTAATAATTACATTTTTCTGGAAATTGAATCGTCTTATGATCTCGCGTCATATCCAAAATGTATGATACGAAAAAAGATATTAAACACCTTCCAAATACATAAAAGTACATAAAGTGTCATATTTAGGTAGGTATGTCTGTTCGTCATTTTAACACAGCATATATTTTTTATAGCCATGAATATTTTTAAAATGTAGTTCACAAAACACTACATTGTAAAAAAACTCTAAACATAGTAGTCACAGGGATGTAGATACTACTCGACTCGTAACAAATGCAAAAGATATTAAGCGTATTTTTTTTTCATTTCCATTTAAATTGACTGTTTCTCAGTAAACCTATATGATTTGATTTGTCAGGTCTTTCTGCAAATGTTTATATTTACGCCATTTTGATATCTAAAGCGCAAGGTATTAAAACAGAATAGGATATTGAATAAAATTTGTTCGTATTAATGTATTAAAATAATAGAACTATATACTACCATCGTGCGAAATGTAGAAGAACATAGTTAGTTATTTGTATTACATTTAGGTATGCCACATTGTGCCTTGTTGCTAATTAATTACTTCCGTAAAGTATGACTTTCACACGTATACCTACATCACAATATGTTTTTATTATAATTGATGTACAGGTTGATTCACTATATTTTGACCCCCCCTTTAACTTTTTTGTTTTAAGAGTTATAAAAAAATGTGAAAAACAAAAGTTGCATGATTTTTTATGAATACTAACCATAACTTTCATTTCACCCTTACTTATTCAGACACCTAACTAACAACAAACTATCTTTGTAAAATTATCACTTTATAAGGGATCTCATCAA